CAAACAAGCCTGACCAAATTCTGCAAGACAGAAACCACAGCTCCTACTTAGGTGAGGCAGGCACGCCCGCGTGGGCTGCACATGAAGGACCTCCCCCTACACCAGCCCGTGTGGAATCAGGACCGGTTCAGTCCTGGGCCTGTCACCTACTCATGTTTATTACCCAATGTTCATGTTCCCTTTCTGCCAGTCAGGCCTTCGCCGTAACTGCTAAGGAAGCCTGTGTTGTACCCGCCAATCCCTTCCTGCTGCCCAAGTGGTTGTCATTCCTGTGACAGTTATTTCTCCAAAAGGGAAACGGTTCCTAAGAGCCAGTGACAGTGACAATCCGATAAAAATGAGAGCTCTTGGTCTGTCTTTCCTGGAATAAGCAGCCATGGATTTTGAACACTTACTAGTTCAGTGATGGGGAACCTTTTGAACTTGGCATGAGAGCATTCTGAAAAGCCCTAACTTAACTCTGGTGCCGTGTCACATATAGAAATTTTTTGATCTTTGCAACCACAGTAAAACAAAGATTTACATTTTTGATATTTATTTTATATATTTAAATGCCATTTAACAAAGAAAAATCAACCCCAAAAATGAGTTCGCTTGTCACCTCTGACACGCGTGTCATAGGTTCGCCATCACTGTACTAGGGGATAGTTCCTGAGCTGCTGACTCTATCGACGTGAGCATTAAAGTCCTTCCAACACCCCCCGAGGGAAGCTTATAGGGTCCCCACTGTACCGTTAGAGCCAAGGGGGGTCATGGTTTGCCTAAAGGTGAACAACACAGTAAGAGGCGGATCCAGAATTCAAAGCGGGGACTGACTCCAAAGCCTGTGTTCTTTCCACTCCGCAACTTTCCCTTTTAAAAACATACATATTTTTATTGATTTCAGAGAGGAAGAGATAGAGACGTCAGTGAAGAGAGAGAATCATTGATCGGCTGCCTCCTGCACCCCCCCTACTGGGGATCGAGCCTGCAACCGGGCATGTGCCCATGACCAGAATCGAACCCAGGACCCTTCAGTCTGCAGGCCAGTGCTCTATCCACCAAGCCAAACCGGCTGGGGCTGCAACGTTACCTTTTAAATCCCCCTAGTGACTCACAGAGAAAGCTGTTGAGGGCCAGGTTCATGACTGGCTGATGAGAACAACCAGAATCTCGGGTCGGCTTCATGGGTAGATGCCCACTACACAGGGCAGTGCTGCTGGTCAGAGGGCGGGAGCAGGTCACCTTGGAAACAGGAAGATGGGCCCTGAGTGACGTGCTCAGGACGGAGAAAGGGCTCAGCCGCTCCCCCAGCTCCGCAAGCCTGTGGGGCCCAGCCTGTCGGTGGCACCCACCGTCTCTTTCTCTCCCAGGTTACTCGGTGGCGGCCATCTCTACTGGAAAAGGGGTCCACTTTGTCGCGGGCGCCCCGCGGGCGAATTACACGGGCCAGATAGTGCTGTACAGTGTTAATGAGAACGGCAATGTCACAGTGATTCAGGCTCACAGAGGCGACCAGGTAAAGTCATTGGTCAGCAGATGGAGTTAATTTCAGGGACAACAGGGGCGGGTGGGCAGAGGGGCGTGGGGAACGACCATTTATTGAGTGCCCGCCCCTGGCTGGCTCTGGCATCTGCCTTTACTTGAATATTCCTGAAATCTTCTCAATCCTGAGGCCGGCCGGGTCCTTTGACGGGCTCCTGAGAGATTGACTCTCCTTCTAGGTCACAACTTCCATGGGCTGAGCTGTCAGTCAGACCCAGTCCTGGGGGCGCTGCAAAGCCTGTGCTGTTTGGCTACTTCCTGCTCCATATATTTTTTATTTTTTTCCATATATTTTTTAAAATATATTTTTTATTGATCTCAGAGAGGAAGGGAGAGGGAGAGAGAGCGATAGAAACATGGATGATGAGAGCGAGTCATTGGCTGCCTCCTGCACGCCCCACACTGGGGATGGAGCCCACAACCCGGGCATGTGCCCTTGACCGGAATTGAACTGGGACCTCTTGGTTCACAATAGTATGTTGATGCTCAGCCACTGAGCCACACCGGCTGGACCCACTCCGTATTTTTGATGCCCTGATTGGTAAGGCCGTGATGCCAGCACCTAACCACGCTTGGAGGCGACCCCGCTGGGAGCCGAGGATTCGGAGAGAGAGTGACAAGGGAGTGGCTGCTGTGGCTCCGACTCGCTGGGGGGAGAGCAGCTCTCCTTCCTGCCGCTCTCCTCTGGCGGGGGCCAGTCTCGGGGTCAGAAACGGACACGACTGCCCCAGTGGTGCCCACAGGGCCCGGGTCAGCCGGGAGATCCCGTGGCCTCACTGGGCATCTCTGACCTCGGGGAGGCACCTGGTTGAGATGAGAGCAGGGCTCTCGACACCCAGCGGGAGTTCTGTCCCCCGAGGCCGAGAGATGACTCTCCACAGGCTCCCCCTCTCGGGGTTCGGTCTGACCCCACTGTCGGCTTCTCCGGAAAAAGAAGGCCCGGCCTTCCACCTCCTGGACCCAAACCAGCCGTGGTCTCTTCCCTTCCCTCCTCTCTACGGCTTCGTAAAAGGGTGCTTTTATTTTGAGAAAAACAAAGCAGTGAAAGCGCAATGAAAGGAATCATTTCTTTTCATTTCCAAATCCTTCCGAGGTATACACAGTGACGCGCGTTGAGCAATGGTTGGATGAGATGAACATTCAAACCCCCAGCCTCTCTCACTTCGCCTCTCGCCCTAACCCTGCGGGCCCCATCTCTGCAGCCACCCCTCCTCTGTCCCAGGCCTGACCATGGGCCCGTCCGTCACCCAGGCTTCCCCTTCTCACTTGGAAACTCCTTGGCGGCTCCTGAGATGCAATTCATACGACACTCATCTTTCTAAGCCGCCCTGGCTCCCAGCACTCGCTCACTCACTCAATATTTGGCACTTTCCTGCATTGTAACATATTTTCCATGGGAGCACAGCATTCGTTCCACCTCTCTCTTCTCCTCCCCCTTTCTCCGTAATGCACCCTTATGCCTCTAAGTGTGGCCTCTGACCCCCAACGGCAGACACACCTGGCGTGCTTATGAAAATGCCGTCTTCTGGACCACTCCCTCGGCCTGGCCTCAGCATCTCTGGAAATGGGCCTCAGGAATCTGTATTTTTAGTTCAATTACAAAGGCAGTCTGCTGGAAGAATTCCTTCAGTCTTTTTATATATATATATTTTATTGATTTTTTACAGTGAGGAAGGGAGAGGGATAGAGAGTCAGAAACATCGATGAGAGAGAAACATCGATCAGCTGCCTCCTGCACACTCCCTACTGGGGATGTGCCCGCAACCAAGGTACATGCCCTTGACCGGAATCGAACCCGAGACCCTTCAGTCCGCAGGCCGACGCTCTATCTACTGAGCCAAACCAGTTAGGGCTGGAATCTGTATTTTTAAAGATGTTTTCTTGGTGATTCGGGGGCACCCTGCACTTGAGATGGTGCCGCAGGCTGAGGGCAGGGGCTGTGTCATCCGTCTTTACGTCCCTAGCACTTGGCAGGGAGTAAGCACTCACGCTTATGTGTCGAATGAGGAAATAAAAGTCCAGCATCGCACGAGGCGCATTGGGGCCCCGGGAAGCCTCAGGCTGACTTGCTTCATCGCTGCAGATCGGCTCCTATTTTGGAAGCGTGCTCTGCTCCGTGGACGTGGACAAGGACGGCGTGACTGACGTGCTCCTGGTGGGTGCGCCCATGTTCATGAACGACCTGAAGAAAGAGGAGGGGAAAGTCTACCTGTTCACCATCACAAAGGTACGCAGATGCTGGCGCGGACTTGGTTTAATGTGGATTGGCATGGTCAGTAAAAGTAGCCTGCCTTTTTGCATTTGGTGAAAGAAAGTCTATTATTGAAGGATGATTTTCATGTACGGAGTGTTTCTGTTTCATTATTGGGAGGATGTCACCGTTCAGTTGTGATTTTTAAAATCGCGTGAACCTAGAACCTAACCTAGAGCCTACTTACTGTGCACTGACATTTTCCATGAGGTCTTTGCATGGATGTTCTCTTACGCATGAAGTGGTCCATGCATATCGTTTTTAAACACACAAACACCTGAGTATGTCCCCGTGTCCTCTCCATTTCTTCTTCTTTTCTGTAAAGAGATCACAATAACAGCTCAGAACTGTCTTGTGGACTTTTACAGTGAAATAGACAAATGGACCAGCCCCGTGGGAACCCCCTATAACCCTGGATGCTTTGCACATCAGCCGCCAGGAAATTCCATTGCTTAGTGTAACGGTTAGGTATACATCCAACTCCGGAACTTTCCAGTCCTTGCACATCAAACGTAGCGTGCGCCAACGTGGAAAATCCTTCTTTCCAGCTGGTGGGCTGAACCCTCTAAATCTATGCACGTAAATACAGGGTCATAGACGCTCCGATGGCCACAGAGGGGGAGGGGCGGGCAAGAGGCGCTGATGTCAGCGCAGTGAGTGTTATGTTTAGCTGTTGTGACATTTTGTCCTCCCTTATTTATTTAAATTAATGAAAAAACTAGCCCTTCAACAGAAGCAAGTAAAACTGTTCTAAAGCACATGCAGAACGCAGAACTGAGCACCCAGTGAGGAACGGGCAGAGCCCCGTGCTTTCCCGGATCCCAGGTTCGTAGCTGTTCCTGGCTGGCCAGCTCTTCTGAAGGATCATTAATGGCTGCAAGTGAGACCAGCTCCTAATAGTTTATCAAACTTGGTGACACGCAGACTTCTCGGCGAGTGTGATCGAGGGGGAACTGGCACCGCCTGGTTTCCGGTGAGGAGCGTGACTTTCTTGTGAGGCCATGCAATATCCCCATTCTTATTTCAAAATCTGAAGAAACAACTGCGTCTTTTACAAGGAAAGGTCTTTTCTTTGGGCGGAACTGCTCAGTGTTTCTTACACTGGGATATGCGTGATCTCGGTTTTCACTTTCTGTGCCATGAAAATTGTGCCACTGTTCAGTAATTTTTCCGTAAAGGTCTAAATTAAGATCTTGCTTTTTATTTTGTCTCCACCTTAATTTTATTCAAAATATTAATAGGTTTTCACCAAAAAAATTTTAAGTCAAAGGTCTAGAAACAGGTGACGATATAACATGAAGGAAAAGAGGAGACAGAGGAATAGGTGCCTTTATGTAGGTTGTGTTGCTAAAGAGAATCGCCCCCTCGCACCTCGCTTTATAAGCAGATTCCCATGACCTTGCTTACGAAAATTCTTATTTATAATTCTGATCATAACAGGAGGGTTTTGAATTCTAGGTTTCCAACCCTCCCCCCTTACCCTTTGCAAGTGGGCGTGGCCATCGCTGGCTGTGAATTGTAATGGTGAGGCTGTGAGGTTCGCTGTACTCACCCCCTCCCCTTCTCCAGGGCATTTTGAACTGGCACCAGTTCCTGGAAGGCCCGGAGGGCGTGGAAAACTCGAGGTTCGGCTCTGCGATCGCCGCCCTCTCGGACATCAACATGGACGGCTTCAATGACGTGATCGTCGGGTCGCCCCTGGAGCACCAGAACGCGGGAGCCGTGTACATCTACAACGGCCACGGCCACACCGTCCGCACCAGGTTCTCCCAGGTAACCCGGCAGCCAAGGTGACATGTGCACAGGGGGCAGCACCATGCCGGCTGGGGAGGAGCATGGGGACCATCCACGTCGCCTTCTCCTCTCGGAACTATTCGCTCACTCAGTAATCTCCATGTAGGTCTTACACATATAAGAGGGTCTGCCCATGTCTGGTGATGGAAACTAGAGAGAAAAAGAA